TGAGTACACATGGACACACAGAAGGGAACAACAGACACCGGGCCCTGCTTGAGGGTGGAGGGTGGGAGGAGGATGAGGATCGAAAAACTACCTACTGGGTACATGCTTATTACCTGGGGCTGAAATAATATGTACACCAGCTCCCCAAGACATGCAATTTATCTACAGAACCAACCTGCTCATGTACCCCTGAAACTAAAAGTTCTTTTTATAAGTGCTAAGATAAAAAAGAATCCACAATCATGGGCATGTCAAGAGGACAAAGGGGCCAACAGAACATTCTCCCAACGGCTAATGCTGGCACAATTTGAGCAAAAAGATAAATAAAATCTTTTGGATTATAACTCAAAATATAACATGAATACCCATGAGTCGATACTGACAGAAATAAATGATTGAAAAAATAAATAAATGGGGAAAAATAGACAAACCTCCAGTTCTGCCCTCAAGAAAGTGGAGAATAACTCTCCACTCCTTAAGTGTGAGCAATGCATAGTGACTTTCTTTCAGAGAATACTGTTCTCCATTGCTGCCCCAAACCTGAAGGCAATCTACTCTTTACTGGCCTATCTTTAATGACTTGCCTATGGAGAAGAATTCAGGTATGCTAGAAACACATCGAACTAAGATTCACAAGACCTGAGTTATTGTCTTAATTCTGACATATACTATTGAGTTAGTCACAAATTCTGATCCTCTTTGCAAAATCGAGGGGAGAATCCTCTTTTGTCCTTGTAAGTTCTCATAATTGTGGTTATATGTACAGGCTCTCCAGGCTAAGCTCAAATATCAACACTGCTCAAATATCTAGTTCTAGGCTCCTAGATAACCAACTTGATCTCCTTCCACCTTAATATTCTCATTTATAAAGTAAATAGTAGTGCCTACATTCGTGAGTTTTTATGAGCATTAAGTTACATGATACATAAAATGTGTAGCATCTGATGTAGAAAACAACCAATATATTACTAGAAGCTAATAATACTAACAACAATAATAATATGCCTGCCCTTGGAAATCTACCCTGGTTCTGAGCATCATCTCCTTCAGACAAGTCTTGGTTTAACAGCAAATAGTTCTTCTATGATTTCTTATGCTTTTCTGGCTTCTCAATCCCCCATCTGTTGGGCACGCATTTTTCTTTAAATATATGGATACATTTCATTGACTGAGACTTGAGGTCCCACTGCCCTAGGATCATTTTTCCCCTAATCAGTACCTTTGCAAATCCCTACTCTGCTTCCCTATAACTCAGTTTTACAATGTACTCAGAGAGCTTTCTCGTGTTTCCTAATGCAGCATTCTTTTTGTTTGTTGGTTTGCTTGTTCTGTCGCCCAGGCTGGAGTGCAGTGGCCCGATCTCAGCTCACTGCAAGCTCCGCCTCCCAGGTTCACGCCATTCTCCTGCCTCAGCCTCCCGAGTAGCTGGGACTACAGGGGCCCGCCACCATGCCCAGCTAATTTTTAGTATTTTTTAGTAGAGACGGGGTTTCACCGTGTTAGCCAGGATGATCTCGATCTCCTGACCTCGTGATCCGCCCACCTCGGCCTCCCAAAGGGCTGGGATTCCAGGCGTGAGCCCCCGCGCCAGCCTAATGCAGCATTCTTAAGAAGCCCATTGTAGTGTCCAGTTGGGTCATAAACTCTGACTGGAGAAATTGTAGTTTCTTTGAGTACACAAATAACTCTATAAATAGAGTTCAGTCACACACATGGCAAACAGCTACATATAGATCTTTAACACTTCATATCTAGAAAGAGATTGAAGAAAAATGTTGAACACACCCATTTCTCTACAAATAAAGCCAAGAGGAAATGGAATATCTCATTATGGCCCTGATTCAGTATGTAATTTCTATACGTATGTCATATAGTAGACAGTAAGTTAGAAAAAAAAATTCAAATGCTAAATTCATATATACTTTTATATTTAAAAGTTTCTTAGTTAAAGATTTAAAGCACGCTTCGAATCCCCTCTAACTGAGATGCAGACAACTTTGGCAGGCAATCGTGAGCTCCTTCAATCTCCACCTTCTCTCCCGCATGAATGCTTGCAAGTCAAATTTCCATCAGCGGGGCAATTTCACAAGCTTTACAAACTCATCTGTGTTCTTATTAGTAGTGGTTATTAAATGTTTACAACACACAAAAACATGTGAACACCTATGGAACATCCACAGTTTAAAAAAAGCCAAATGGCCAGTCGCAGTGGCTCACGCCTTAATCCCAGCACTTTGGGAGGCTGTGACGAGTGGATCACCTGAGGTCAGAAGTTCGAGACCATCCTGGCCAACATGGTGAAACCCCATCTCTACTCAAAATACAAAATTACCTGGGTGTGGTGGTGCCCTCCTGTAATCTCAGCTATTTGGGAGGCTGAGGCAACAGAATCACTCGGGGCCAGGAGGCAGAGGTTGCAGTGAGCCGAGGCTGCACCACTGCACTCCAGGCTGGGCGACAAGAGCTAAACTCTGTCACAAGAAATAAATAAATAAAAATAATTTTTAAAAGCCAAATGTTGATAATGAGTTAAGCCCTACCCCATGAGCTCCTCCCCACTCAACAAGAGTATAAAATATGTGAAGAGGTTAATATAAATTATCCTCTTATAAAGAGGAGGAAATATAAGGTGATGTCTGGTACGTGCCCAGAGTCATAATACAGCAAATGGACATTCAGTCACAAGTGACTATAAAGGGAAATGCACACCCAGAATTTGTTGGACAAATCATGAGCAGGGTAAGTCCAGAGGGGTTGAAGAGAGAAATAGGGCTTTAAATCAGAGTAGGGAAATTCTTCAAAATAAGTAGTGTATGTTATTACTTCACAGTATGTGGATTTATTTCCCAGATTATGACAATATGGGGAGACAGCAAGGCCAGGAAAACCCTGGACTTTGAATCCAAAAGCCTGGGTTTGGATATCTGCTATACTTACTAATCAAACGTGACATCAGGAATGAGTCAGAAAGTATGGTAATGTATCAGTTAGCATTCAGCTGCCAATAGGGGCGTCAGCACGGGTAACTTTTAATTATCTCACACACAGTGAAACTCTAGGTAAATGGTTCCAGATTTGGTGCAGTAACAAACTGATGTTATCAGAGATGTAGGCTTCTTCTTATTCTCCCTTCATCCTTTGTATCATTTCTCTATCTTCTATCATCCAAGATATGTGATGAATTTTTTTTCCCTTAGGCTTATTGCCTCACCGGCTCGACCAAGATAGCTGCCACAGAGCCACAATCATTCTCTCACAGAATTGCATTCATGGCAGGAAAATAAGGCAAGGGGCAGAACCAAGGAGCTGTCTTTTTGCACCTGACCCTTTCTACAGAAAGAAACACCTTTTCTAGAAGCCCCTAAGTGGAATTCTCCTTAGATCTCATTGGGAACATGGTTGCCCTGAGGTGCAAGGGCAATCATTTACCAATCCTTGACAAATAACTTTTCCAGGAAGAAAATGAAATGACTCAACTGCTTGATATTCAGCTAACAGTACCCACCAAAGATATACCTTGTTATTAATGGAACTGTGTGTGAATTCATGTCTATACTTGTGTGCACACAGTCACACATATGTTTTGATCATAAAATAATGGGATACTTGTGCCCTTTTAGTAGAGTGGAACAAAGTAAATGTGACCAGAGATTTCTACGCTTTTCAAATAAATAAATAAATAAATAAGGCATTTTAAGATGACTTTAGAAATAATTTGCTAATAATTTGCTAATAACAATTACTCTTAAATGTTCCTTAAACTTTACACTGTGCTTAAAAATAATAAAACTATGTATGTAGTAATCACAATTTTAGTCATCTGAGTCTTGACAGATTTTATAACAATCACTGGGGTTTGACTACACCTGTGATTAACGCCATTTTTAGTTTTATTTTTATGACTTATTACACTATTTTTCAGTGTTTGCTTTTTACATAATTATTAGAGGAAATATATAACCTTTTATAGGTAATTTGGGGTGTAAACTAATTTTTTCTCCTTCTAAGTCAGACATTTTGTTGCTATAGAGAAAATGAATGCAAATTATCAAAAAGGTAAGTAGCTAATAAGCTTAATGTCTACTGGGAATGAGGAAAATTATATTCTTCTTATAAAAGGAAAAGTTATTCACCTCTGCCAAGAGGCATAGCGATATATAATACTCACACATAATACTCACACAGAGATTTGCCTAAATTGACTACAGACCACTGTAAGAAAAAAAGACTCAAAAAGATAAAACCGGAACATGGGTAAAGATAAATCTCTAGTTGTTCGAAGACCTAAGAAACATATGAGACAAAAGCCCAACAACTTGGCAAGTAATTTCAGGAACTTTAAGTGCCATATTTCTTAGAGAACAAGAACTATATTTCTAAAATGTCAACAAATTGTAAAAGAATTAAAAGTAAACACAGGTTAGACTAAGCAGTAGTTGATCATGGTTAAGGATTAATGATCACACCTAGATACTGATTTATTTAAATGTTGTACACACATTGATCTTTGAAGACGATGTCATATAATGCTGCTCTAAAGAGTTGCTCTTTTTTTATTGGTTCTTAAAAGAAAGATATAAATTTAAGTGTTCAAAATTCTTACTAAAACTCCACACCAACTGTCCACGAAAAGCAACAGTTCGTAACTTGTTCCCTTTTATGCCTCCAGCATCTAGCACACAATAGTATTCTTGATAAAATCGTATTTTTTACTGTTTCTATAGTATTTTTTAATAGTATTTTTTCATAAAAATAAGCCATTTCATTTTGGTAAAAATAAAATCACAAATATGAAACTCCAGTTCACTTGAAGGCAAATTGATAGAAATAAACTTTCAGTGGTAAGATGAGAGACATTAACCTGTAAAGGAAAGCTGTAAATATTTCCATAGCCCAGGAAAAAATGCAAAAAGCTATTGAGTAGCCAGGATCTGTTACACCATAGAAGAGCTATATCTCTTTATGCAACATTTAGTAATTATTTCTAAGCAACTACTTACCTGATTCTTTCAGAATCATTTAGGTGGAAAATACAGACTCTTTTCCCTTAAACTTGTATGTAACTCCCTCTCAAGACGAGAAAACTCAGTCTCCCACCCTCCTCCACGAACATAGGATTTAGGAGGGGAAGAGACTTCCTGTTACCTCCTCATTGCTTTTCCAAAGCACAGCTCCCCTACCTTGAAATAAAAACACCCGTGTTGAGGCTGATGGTACCCTGCTTTACCGGTCTCTTCTATCAACTGCCTGCCTCTCTCCCTGACATTTGTGGAAGATTTGAAAATCTAGTAGCTGCCTGCTTTTCTTCTGTTATCTCTGTTCCTGAAAACGCTGCAGATGATATCTGTGTCTTAAAAGGGATGATTGACCTTATACCCTGGCATTAAGTACTTACTACCCTTGAACTTCTCAACTGCAGACTTTACCTCCAAAGCCCACTGAGCCACCCCATTCCATGGCAACTGTAGGGCGTGGCCTTTGCTCTGAAATCTTCAGCTTTGCCTTATCACTGCACGTTCGTAGTCTTCCCTCTCACTCCAAGCTTGAAATCCTTCCCTGTTGCATTCTCGGTTTAAAACTCTGGTCTGCACCCTCGTCTCAGCACATAGAGCCTTCTGCAATCTGTCCACTGTCCGTTTGTCTCCCCGCATTTCTTACCCCACACAAACAGACTTGCCCCTCTCTTTCAGACTTCCTGAAAGGCTGTGTTTCCAGTGCGGCTTTGAGCTTCCAAAGTGCTGCTTCTTTTGTCCTGCTTTTTCTCTTTTAGTTTACTCCTACTCAGTCCTTCAAAACGGGTCTGAAAGTATTCGTTTCTGTTAAAAGACTTTCCATGCTCCATCTGTGCAGTCTGCTTTATTTGCTCCTTCTCCTGGCTCCCAGAATATCCTTTATATAACTCTTGGGTACACTCGCGAAGGCTAGGAGGACGTCTTGCTCACATTAGTAACTGCAACACCTGGGACAATGTTAGGAAGACGGTAGCTAGGACAAGCCTTGAGGATGCTTTCCAGAAAATATTAACACCAGAGAAACTAGAAAAGAGGACATAATTCCAACTTTACATTTTTTCTACTGTATACTTTATACTGGTTTGCTAATACCATTAGATATTTTTATTCACCCCTAGATAGTGGTCGCATTTTATCCCCTATCGAAGACAAACACTGCATGGTTACTACACGACAATATGGACAATGTTGGAAAGTTGAATGGAAGATGATCAAATGAGGTTAAGCTTTCAAGTTGGGAAAAAGGGAGAAAGTGGGAAAAAGTAGTATTCCTATAAATTTTTAAAGTCAACAAACATAATTATTTTTGTTTCTTAAGAGCTGTTCTGAAAAATGTGAACAAAACTCACCACTTGGTTAAATTTCAGTTATCAACTGAATTATTTAAAACAAGAAATCTGACTTTGATTCCGCTTTCATGAAAGAAGCAAACCAGCAAAACAGGTCTTTGGAATTACTATATTATAACCCTATAGGAAAAAAAAGAATTTATTAATCTCCTCCAGTCCACATGTTACTATACCCTTATTAAATAGATGTATCACAGAAACATGAAGGATTACTACCACGTAAGTATTAGTGGTTTAAAATAGAAATGCAGCTAGTGCATTTAACACTTAGACTTATTCTCCTTATCTTAGTTCTTTAAAATCATCACCAGTGCCCTAGTGGTTGAAAAATTGAGCTGTAACTCAATCTGTGCCATTAATGGCAGAATCCTGGGTCAGTCTACTAACCTATTTTGATCTCAGTTTCCTCATTTGTAAAATGAGGAGAAGAGAGTGGATGAGTGATTTTTCAAATGTTTTGTTAATTGACAGAACTCCCTTCTTTTTCCCAAAGGAAATGTTACCAGGAATCCTGAGACAGGAAACCTGAAAGGCAGGATGGAGAAGATTCAGCCTCCCTCTCTCCCTCCAGGCACACCCCAGAATTCTGGGACAGGGAATTGGAAAACTAGCTCAGAGGGTCCTATTTTGAGCCTTTCACAACAATCCTGGCAGGTCCTGGAGTGGCCATGCAAGAAAGGATGAAACAAGGGCAGGTGTGCTAAGCTGATAGCCCACCTTAGCTCAAAGGAAAAAGAACACATTTTTCCTAGTTTTAAGTCTGAAAGTGGAATGAGAGATTAGTCCTGAGATAACCTTGGAAGAATCTGTCCCCACCTCCAGGGTTACAATGTTGACTCTTTGAATGGTATTTCTGTCCTGCATCTCAACTTCCCTGAAAACACCTCTGCCTGCTCAGATCCCTGAGCCCAACTGAACCTCTTCCTCCTCCTCATCTTCCTCTTAACCCACCATGTGGCTCCCAACGCCCACAGTTGGGCCCAGGATCCCTTCCCTCTGTGAGCCACCCGAGCAGGCAGCCCTGATTCAGGAAACCCGGGTTATCGTCACTGGAAAACAGATGCCTCAAAAGCAACAGGACAAACTTTGGAACAAAGGAGTTCACGGGTCCTCTCTGACCTAAAATCTCTACATCTCTCGCATTGTCTTGCTCAACTGAAATAAGCCGGGGCTTTGTGTTTCCTCTCACCCGCATTCAAAGAGCCGGTGCTGATGACACTTGATTTTCCTCACTCCCCGTTCCTAAGGCAAAGTGAGAAAATGCTTTCAAAACTAGCTCTAAATTTGGCTCCTTTTTGCTCTTTGGAAAAAAATAAGAGAGAGAGAGAAAGAGAAAGTCTCACTTTCCTACTCCTACAACTTATTTTAAAATTTGCAGAGGAATTCCCACAGAACTACTGCAGTTAAAAAAAAAAAAATCTATTAGCCTGTAAAATGTCCACCAATTCTTCGGCACCCAAAGCCTTGCCGGCAGCTGGTGCCACACGGCTCACTATTATTATCCCACCCTGGGATTCACTTGTAAAAGCCTCACACACAGTAAACAAATGTCAGAGAGCAAACATAAAGCTCTCTCTAAACTCAAGACATTGTAATTCTCGTTACTTTATCTGTTCACTGTCTAAATGTTTACCTGTCCCTTCAACGTTCCGGGCATCTCAGCTGTCAACTAAAAGGAAGAAGCTGAGGCAAAATTAACAAAAGTAGAGAATTGGTTTGGGCCAAGCTTGAGGATTGCGGCCCTGGAGAGCATTCAAGTGGATTTTTAAAGGAAAAAGAAGAAAGAAGTTCCTGAGTTGTTTACCAAGAACTTATGTTAAAATAACATAAGCTATTGATTGCTTATACACTGTTCTTTGTATTGCAAATTCCAGCAACAAGAAGATAATGTGTTAGGCAGCTAATCTGGAACAAAATGCCTTTAAAACTTTACCCCCAGGCAGGGGTGCAGGGTGGGGAGAGAATGATTGAAGTTCCATACTCCTGTCTCTCTGGGCCTGATAAATTTCTCATATCTCACATAGCTCAGAATACTCTATTTTTCTTTCCTCACAGACATGTGCCTCAGAACCTTGTATTTTGAAAGTGAGAAGACAAATCATGCATTCCAGGGATCTCCGAGGTGATCTCCACCCAGCCCTACTGCAGTGGCCTTGATCCCTTTCAACCGACCCTCCTCCTCCAAAACCATCTCCTGGGGCCCAGCAATCTCTCCTCTGAACGGGCTAGAGATGCAGTGGCTTGAAACTGCAAGATCCCGGACCTCCCGTCCTACTGACATTTTGTGAGTGTCCATTTAGTTAGTAAACAAACAGGTAGGGAGGCAGTTAGTTGTTCTGCTTGCTGGGATGATGAAATAACAGACTCTTACTCCCAACTTCCCCTTGCTAAAGTGCTAGCTCACCGCAGGACTCATTCGGCGCGCTGTGGGAATGGAGAAAGGGATTACTTGTTAATAATACATGAGCACAGAAAGCCCTTGAAATGTGTGCCTAAGGCCAACTTGACATGGGGAGTGGGGGAGAGAGAAGTCACTTGATAACACAGAAGGGAGAGAATAGCCCACATTCTGCCACAAATTTTCATTCCGCAAACACGTCTGTCCTCCTGGTCCTTCCACCTGGGTAAATTTCACATTAGCAATTCTGAAATAGGAAGGGTAGCAAATGCAGCTCTTTCTAGAAAAAGGCAAGGGAGGGAAAAGAATAAAGTGAATCTGGAGGGCATTGATCGTGAGTGAGTGTATGTGTGAATATGAGAGTGTATCTATGTGAGTTGGTGTATGTCTCTGTGAGCGTGTGTGTGTATGTGTATCTGTGTGTGTGTGTGTTCATCTTTATTTTTACTCCTTTCATTCTTCAACATTGTTGTCTCACAAACTGCCTCCAGCAATGATTTTTGTTCTGTGAAATCTAATTTTCAATCTTTTCATCTCAATGATGAGACGCAGCATAACTTCCACATCAATTTCCCAATATTTCAAGGGATACGTGGCTCTACATAACACTTTTCCAGATCACTGAATTTAACCTTTTAACTCAAACTTGCACTTTCAAATGAAACACCTCATGTATTATAAACTTATTTTCCTTCCTTAGTAAAAAGCACAAACATGATTCGAAGTTTTCTTGATAGCTGAAGATCATAATTCTCAGCCACTATTTCTTTATGCTGTAATATAATCAGCCCTTCACGGGCCATGACGCATAGCACGGTGACTTTCTACACAACAAAATGGTTCCGGTATTCTTCTCCTCAGACCTGACACCCTTCCTCCCTGTCACTGCCTGCTAGACACTGATAGCCTAAGAAAATTACGGTCTCCATCTACAGCCAATCAGTCACCACGCTTGTACCTTTCCACTAGTCTCGGCTGCTTTTATTTTATTTTGACTTATTTTATTCTGTTTCTGCTCCCTCCTCGAAGCTTCCTTCCCTTCACTGCTGGTCTTTCAGCTCTCAGGCTGGCTGTAGCTGAAGGCTGTGCTGTTTGGTTCTGCTCTGATAAGTGACAATTTCACCACCTCAAGGCATTTAGGTCCCAGTTCTCATTTTTTCAGTTTTTGTTTTGTTGGGGAGTTGTTTAATCCTAGTTCATTTTACTGCTGGAAATACTTTCTTCCCCTTCCTCGACACCTTCCAATTTAAGGTTTGATGCCATTCTGGGAATGGGAGATGGCCCCCAAACTGCCTCCGATGATCCAGGCTCTGCAGTGATTTCCAGATAGGAGATACGGAATTGACAGTTGGAGAAATCAGAGCCGGCATCACTTCCCTAAAAATACATTAACTCCAAAAAGAGATGAAATAAGCATTTTGAGGGATGAACTCAAATTTTTGCTCTAAAAATGAAAATCCTAATATATAGGATAGATAAGAATTGGATTCAGCAAACTATATGCTACCTGAAAGTTGCTTCTAATTTCCCAACTGGTAACCTCAATTCTACAGTGATGGGCACAGAGTCCATTCCCCAGTAGTCTCAACTCACTTTGGGACCAGACTGTGTTTACCTGCCACAGTTAGAGACCAACCTTCCCAATCTTGCATTTCTTCCTTTAGAGAAGGAAGAGCTGAAGGCTGCAGCCACCTGTTGCATCTTCTGCAACCTTCAAGCTACCAAAATTGTACTTGACAAGTTTGTTGAAAAATGGACAGAAGTGCCAAATATCCATTTGTCTATTCAAATGTCCAAGCTGCCTTCCTAGTGAAATGTTGGTTGCAATTGCATTTGAATTAGACTTTAGAGTAGGGGGGAAAGAGATGTGTACATTTCCACATTTCAGTTCCTTTAAATGCTAAATAGACATCATGATACTCAGTCAGTCCTGTTTCCTGAGATTATTACCAGGCACACGAAAGAAATACACTGAACTATTCTAGGGAAGTGCAGAATATATGAGATTGAAGTATTACAAGATAATGCCTCTTAAGGAGTTAATTTTCCATTTCCTTTAATGAATATAATCAACCACTACCTCTT